AAACATATAGTACTGTCTTTCACAGTAAAGTGACAATGTGATCGTATTATTCATTTGTGAACGTGACCATCATATCATGCTTCCATCAAGCACCCTCACCCTTGCAATGAACATCACTGCAGCGACAGACAGGCCTTCCAGAAGCTTCCCAGCCATTGAAGCCACGCTCCAGGACCATAATGTTCTTTATTCCGGGATCTTCTTTAAAGTCCTCAAGATAATGGCTAACCTTCGAGCACATGTTGGGCCGCCGAACCTACAAAAGCGTTTTATTTAGAATTATGCCCCCGGCAAAGTCAGAAAGAACCATCTTGCATCACACGAACAGATATTGGAAAGACACTCAGAAAGATTAAAACTTCTGCGGTATCAAGAATGGATAAAATAAAACATACATAACAATCACGTAGTGGAGTAAAAAATTATTTATGCTGCATTTTGTCCAGGTCAATGGAAAAGGGTGGGAAGACAATATCCCATCCACAAAGAAATCACAGAGTTTGAATCCTCATTTTTCATTCTCAAGACGAGCTCTCTCATCCCACTAGACAATTGCAGGCATTCATTATGCCGTCAGTCTGAAACTCAGCTTTGCTCTGGACACTACCTCTAACTTCTATGAGTTAAGACTACTTCAAATGTGGCCATGATCCTGATGCTCCGTAAACAAAAGTTTCATATTCCAAATGAACCATCCATGCCAACTTTTCAGAATACATGATCAACGCTAATAAACATGCCCAAGTGAAGCCTAATAAGTCATGCCTTTTTTTTGGGGGGGGGGGGGTCAACTGCAGGATGCAGCCTGTTCATTTGGTTACTTGAATACGATATGCTGCCCTGGGCGTTTATATTAAAAAAGATATAGTTTGAGCAGCATTTATTTGACTGCATTAGTTTAAGGCGCAGCTTAGCTTAGCGGCATCTTGCTATCTGACAAGTATAGAATTCTTGTTTATCATTCAGAATCTTGAATGCCATCTGCATCAGCTAAATCTACAACAGATTCAGATATCTTCTTAAATAGGATTGCCTGTTCAAAATCCCATTTTAGAACTTCCGATGCTGATCCAAACTTAATAACACTAGTGGTACAACAACCCAAGTTAATTAATCTTGATTGTAATAAGAAGGCTGTTAGAGAGCAGCATATGCTGTGACTCACTATTAAGTACACTTTATATACACCGGCTTCACTACAGCAACGTGACTATTCAAATTTATAAGGCCTTAGCTAGAGATATTTTCTTGCTGTCTTCCCAGCTCATTGAGAAATCAAGGAGCCTGGAATTTCACCGTGAGTGTTATAGAATATTTGATGGAACAAAATACCGGAAAAAGGAACCGAAAATCGACAATAAAATAAAATCAGAGCCAAGAAGTACGTAATTGGAAGGGTAGATGTGAATAACAGGAGAAGCAAACCTGACTTAGAGCACAGTGGAAGACAAGGGTGTCTTTGCCTTTGACTTGTTGAACGAGATTCGAGATGTTTTCCGAGAAAGAGTCGCTTGCGAAATGAAGAGACCCGGCTATGTGTCCATCATAACTCCGTTCGTCGTCCCTTCAATTTCGGAATCCATCAACAACAAATACCAATTGAATTGAACTCTCAAATCAAAATAAACAAACATGGCAAGAAAGAGCGAATCGAGGATCAGGCAGAGAGGGGAGTGATTAAAACCTGACATCGATAATGGCAATATTGGGCTGGCGTCTGAGAGAGAGGAGCTGGGAACCAGTTATGTAGGAGATGCTGCGAGCCATCTTCTTCATTCAGAGACCTCCACTGCTCCGCTTTTCAGCTTCGTCCTCAGCTGTTTCTTTTGTTTTTGGTCCAAGAGAGGGGCAGCGCCCTAAAACAAAAGAAAAACTAGACAATCTTTTATTCCTGGTTATTCTTCAGATTTTCTGTCAAAACTGAAAATGTGAAAATACCAGGTTTTCAGATGCCCTAATGTTATCAATTTATAAATTAGATAGATTAGTTTAAAAATTGATAAATGTTAGAGATAACATAGATTAAAACTAACTCTCTAACTAGATCTTATATTTTAAAACTATTTTTCTAACTTTTAATTTACTTGTAACTCAATCCTTCAATTATGATTATGCGCGTTTCAGTTATTGGACTTTAACCCGCTTAACTTTTCATATTTAATAATTTAATCTTTTCATATATGAATTATGTTGAGTCATCAATTATTAATGACAAAAAATATTATTTAAAAGTATTAAAAATGCAATTAGAGCTTCCGCCTTGGGGGGGGGGAGTAGTATCAGCTACACTGTGCGTAGCCCAAGCCCCGTGACAACACTATCTAATTCCAACATAGATCAGCACTATCGAATTGTATCGTTAAAGTTGAATCAATTGCAGAAACTGAAAGCACCTGGACACTTTTTTCCTCTCTCCCGCTATTGATATTTGGAGACAAGGGTAGTAGAGAAGGATACCTCAGATGGACTCTCAAGTACGGCATAAAATTGCTGTGATTCTGATAATCTCTGTCTTTAGTCCACCAAACTTCTATTCACTTGTTTTTCTACATCCATTCTTGTTGTATCTATTGTTCTAATTTGCAGATTTTCTGAGAGAGAAAACGCGGAGTTCACCATCTTGCTTGCTGCGACATTAGAATAAGAGTATCAGTGCGTGGAGTTCACCATTTGGTTCACACTTTTTTTTTTGTGTGAAGAAGAACGTTGATAATTTTTTTTCCCAAGGTGGAAGCTCTAATTGCAATTTTTAATACGTTAAAATGACATTTTTTTATGCCACATCAAATAATAAACTGATGACTTTATATATGAAAAGGATTGAATTATTAAATATGAAAAATTTAACGAGTTAAAAGTTTAAAAACCGAGTCACGCTGAATAATAGTTGAGAAACTGAGTCAAAAATGAGTTAAAAGTTTAAGAATCAAAAGATTAATTAAAAAAGAGAGAATAAATCATTTTTAGCTTGGAAGCGAAAAAAGGGAAAAATAAACTCCGACCTGCCGGATTCGAACCAGCGACCTAAGGATATCTGATGGATTTGCCCACTACAGTCCTCCGCTCTACCAACTGAGCTAAGGTCGGACCTGATGACTTGTGGTGCTGAACGATTAACTCTACTAATTAAACAGTGCCCCCAAATGAGGCATGCATGCAGATGTTTCAAATCCCATTTTGATGCAAATGGCGTTTAAGGTAATGATTTGATGTTAATTTAAAAAATTCGACTAAAAATCATATTTCTAACATAATATTTGAATGAAATCAAAATTATCTAAGTAGTGATTGACAAAAAGTACTAATTTGTTGAACACTAGTTATTTAGTTAATCACGATTAAATAAATTCTTAATGTGTCTCATTTGTGTATTCATTTTCCTTAAGCTGAGTGTCATCGTATTCTTTATATTAAAAATAATCTTGTTTAAAACATTGTCATACGCTAAATGTTGACATCCTTCTTAATAAGTAATTAAACTTGGGTTAACCCAATTAGATTAAAACCCGTTGGTATATTAGGGCAAGTTAAATAAATAATTATTAAAGTTGATCATTTAAGGAAGTGTTTAGGTACTAGAAAAAGTGTTTTTTAAAAGTATTTTTCTACAAATCAAGATAAACCCATTCATATATTTACTCTGTACACTGTAAAAATATTTTTAAAACCATAATTTTAATTTCATCCAAACATTTTATAAGACTATGATGCGGAAAACGATATGGGTGGAAGCATGAGTCTTGTATACGCTGCTTGAAGTTGAGTTCGTCATAAGTAACAAATTGCCATCCTCTTATTTCCGTTCTGTGCGCTGGGAAAAAGAAAAAGAAAAGAGAGATTTTGAAGATCAGCAGCTATTTGGAGAGAATTGCAGTTGTGTTTGAGCCACATTAAAGAAAATTCCAAAACAAGAGTGGCCCAGAAGAAGGCGACAATGGCTAAACGAGCACGGCTATAGTGAGGGAACAGGGGAAGAGGCCATCTCTCTGGGCAAAGCCAGCTAGATTGCACTTCACGTGAGCCCTACGTGCAAGGACCCGGCTTGGATGAATAGGCTCTCTGGTTTATTCTCCTTCTCATGAGTAAGCGACTTGACCATTCTTTATCCACAGGCACGTCTCTATTACGAAGCGTGCCCATATAACTGATCCCACAGTTAATTGGCTAATTTGGATGCCGTTAACATAGCCTCTCATTCGCCCCTCTGGCATTGACGCACTAACTAACCCCATTAATGATTCTCGTTTATCACATCAGAAATAAAACCAGGCTATGTCCTGATTTCTATATAATGGGGCCGGTAAGTGAGGGGTCTCTGTTTCAATTTCGGAGCAAATAATGGCTGCGGCTTCTATGTGTTGCGCTGGCTCCGGCATCGTTTTCACAACCTCTGCCACGCAAAGCATCTCCCATCAAATCCTCAAAACATGCCAATCACAGAAAAAGTCAGGATCTTCTTCTCCACATTGCCTAATCATATCTACCCTGTTTCCAGAACGTGTATTGTATATGCACAGTTCGATCCTTTTCTCTGTATTAATGGTTCATATTAAAGACGATACTTCACTCTATGAATGGATTCTTTCTGTATTATATGGAGAGAAAGAACCTCGTTTCTCTGCGTCATATTAAATCTGGTGTACCTTCTGTCACAGTCTGATTGGGATCTTCTAGTCTTGTTCCCCATTTAATTCACACTTGTCTGCCGATTGTCTTTAGAGTGCAAAACAGAGGACAAAAATAATAAGGGCATGAATGGGACTTTAGGACGCTAGCAATCATCAATATACCAATGCATGGTCGATTCATTTTAGTATGCAATTTATGTCTGATTGTCAAGTAACACACACAGACTTTACTTGATAGTGTAAGGAATAATTCGTTAAATTCAGTTTATCAGTTCCCCATCAATTAAACGGCAATTAATGATACAGAAATGGATCGTTTTGATGTGCCCTGGGATAAATTAACATATTTAGTTTGACGCAGATTTACTTTAAAATTTCAATTTTTATGATATAAAAATCATATTTTCAGGTGAAGTATTAAAAAAAAATTATACTTAGTGAGTTAGAAATAATCATAATTGTTCTGTTGTCTACTTGTTTATAATAAAATATTTAAACATAAATTACTTAGATTAAATAAAAAGAATTCAAAATATAGCACGAAAGACAAGCATTTCCAATCCAATAATGTTCGCGGCCCAAAAAGAATCCAATAACGTCGCAAAGAAAAGTTTGAACGATTTCGACGTGATCATTTTCTTGACATCATATTACTCATTCCATCTCTTTTTATAAGATTTAATTTTTAAATAGGTTTGTCTCTTTTTTATAAGATTTTCTTTGAATTTCTCTGAGCATTTAATGTATTATTACATATTTTACTCCTAATTTAATATATTTAATATATTCTCTTTCTTCATTTATCTCACTATTACTCCCTCACATTTGCTCATCTATATATAGGGATATATTTTTAAAAAAATTATATTTATTACATATTAATTGCTCTTAACTAATTTTAACTATTTTTTTAAACCACACAATTTAGTTAAAAAGATATTATAACAAGGAACGGAGGGAGTAAATCATAATTGTCACAGATTATACCATTCCAATTAAATAATTAATTGCTGGGTCATTGGTGATGACGTCTTAAATTACAAATTAAATAACCTTTATTTAATGTGTCCTGTTGTATAATAACCTCATGAGAGCAATAAACAATAGCGAACTTTAGACATTCTAAGGAGCCTGAGAATAATTTACACTACTATCAATATATCAATGCTAAATTTTTACACTATTCATAAATACTGCTACTAATGTTAACTTGGATGTATTTATAATACACACAGGCAATAATTATATTATTATTTGCATCTATACATTTGATTCTTTAAATATATTCTCTTTCGCACTTTCATGGCTTTCTTATTTCTTTACACAACAATAGAAGAATAACAAAGACGAAGAAGCCACACAATGGTCGAAATTTTCTTGTGTTTTCTGGGGAGGGCCTTGAGGCTCACTTGGACATCCTTAATACATCAACGTTGTTTGTGGAGTGGGGGACCCATCCTGAGTCGTCACCCCTGTCAAGCAAAATAGAGAAACTTTCTGAAAGACATCGAGAGAGAGAAGAAAAACAAGCCACATGAAGAGAAATAATGACAATAATAAGCGCTAAATGAAGCGCCCCCCAATTTTACTCAACCCCAACATTCTGGTGTAAGCCTGTGGTCTCTTTTGGGATCATTGCAATAGTTATAAACCATATGGTATCTTTGAACCCATCTCATGGCCCTGTATTGCTGGCTGCTCAACCCGCCGGACCTGTAGGGCGAAACTGAGACCGGCCGGCACCAAATCGGCCCATAGGCCGAGCAACCGCTGGCTTTGAAGTTGCTGTACTTGGCCACAAATGGTTGGTATCTGTAATCTGCTTTGTACTTGCCGTTATCCGTTGCCCATGATGACGCATCCCAGATCGAACCGTACACCCACATTGGCCTCACCGGATATGTCGCATCACTCTTCTTCGGGTACCTCCTTATCGGCACATCATCCACTAGGAATCTGACATTATTATTGTTGCTATTACTATCATTGATCCCTGTTATACAATCATTTTTCTATCACGTAGTGAATGGACTTGCGTTACTTACATTATTTCCTTAGGACTCCAGAGTATAGCGTAGTGATGAAAATCTTTGGTGGGATCAAACCAGAGATGGAACTTCATTTCCCTGCCTATGATTTTGCCGTCACCACTCCCTCTTATGTAAACATTTGTCTGCAGAGTATAAGGTTTTCCAAATGTTGTGCCCAGAAATTC